TTTCAGGTCACTACGGTGGAGATCGCTTCCGGGAAAGCTCCATGGGCAGTCAAGAAAGCCACCCAGGTGCAGGGGAGACAAATTCACGGATTTCTTGATGAGAATGGAGTTCTTTGGCCACCTGGCAGTGGGAGGCACTTGCAGGGTTCAGGGTGTCTTCTTTTTCTAGGGTTTAGGGACCCTGCCCCGACTGCCGGCAGGATCCGCTCGCGAAGCCGTGGAGGCCAGAGGGTCCACGGCCAGGAGTTCAAGGCCATCAGCACGATGGCTCAGACCCTCACGAACCAGGCCTCCTTCTCCACATGTCTCCCTCTCCCCTCCTTCTCTGCTCCTGCTGCCTATGTGGCTTTGGGGTTTGTGCTTCCTTGCTTCCTGGCAGACTGAGCTCCAACGGGAGATGCTGGGCTTCCAGAGGGAGATGTTTGCCTCGCAGGCTTCGAGCTCTTCGCAGGGCGAGGTCTGCGACATTGCTCTGTTCGAAGTAAATTGAGAGCCCCAAACACCCGACAGGACAAGTGGAAGAACACTGTCACGTGGAGCCGGCGATGGTGAATCTCCACAAGGACGCTGTTGTGCTTCGGGAACACAAGTTTATCGATCTATAAACTCTCGGGGTTCGGGGGGAGCAAGGGTTTATCGATCTATAAACTTCTGTCCCGGCCTTCTCTCTTATAAGGAGGACGAGACCAAGGGTTTATCGATCGATAAACTCCCGGGCATCCTCGGGGCCAAGAGTTTATAGATCGATAACCTCGTGGTTGCATCGGTCGTGGTGTCATCCAGGGGCTTTTGCCTCTGCTGTCCCGATTGCAGGATGCTGGGCATCCACATGGGCCGGATGATCGTGCCGGCTTTTTATCTCCAGGCACGGACCGGAGATGATGTGATTTTGTATCGGCTGGCGGTTGGCACCCTGTGGCAGGCCCATGCACTCTGAGCTCGGCTGCAACGGTGCCGGGAGCCTGGAAGAAGCAGGCAGCCAGAACAGGCACAACACAGCAACTCACACACCAGATCTTCCACAGCACACAGCACACACAGCAGCAGGGCGAGAGCCACAAACCAACACACAAACACAAACATACATATACAGCACGGCTGCCGATCATCTTCCAGGTGGCCCCAAATCCCTGTAGATGTACCTTGCAAGGTACCTGAAATTGGCCCCGGACCCCGGCCAGTTGTAGTCGTTCGACGGAGACACATGTTTGACCGGCTTCAGCTGAAAATGGCGATTTCGGCGGTTGTGCGCTGAGAGCTGCTTGCTCGGTTCCATGTACTGAAGACTTGTGACAGTTGTGTCCTTGAGGTCAGAAACATGTTCCATGTATCGATATATATGCATATAGTCATGAATCGTTATATGAATGTATACATATATATATATATATATTCATATGTATATATATATGGTCACCCCCCCCCCCATGACAGACCATGCCCTTTCGACTCAGTCGTAGTGCATGGTCTGTGATCGGGGGGAGGGGGCACTCAGCTTTCAAAGCCTCAATTCCAAAATTTCCAAAATTTCCAAAATTCTCTCCCCTAACTTTCCGGATTCCCAAAATTTCCAAAATTTCCGAAATTTCCAAAATTTCCAAAATTTCCAAAATTTCCAAAAAGTCCGCCCTTATGTTTTGGAAAAATCCTGTCGACTAGGTCGGGAAATTTTGGAAATTTTGGAAATTTTGGAAATTTTGGAAAATTCGGAAATTTTGGAAATTTTGGAAATTTTGGAAATTTTGGAAATTTTGGAAATTTTGGAAATTTTGGAAATTTGGAAATTTTGGAAATTTTGGAAATTTTGGAAATGCGGAAAGTTAGGGGAGAGAATTTTGGAAATTTTGGAAATTTTGGAAATGCTGGAATCTGTTCTATATATGACTCAAGTAAGATTACTGTGTAGTGCTTACTATGTAGTGTATCAGCACAACCATCATCCATACACGTGTGCTCTGTAATTCCTTTCTTGGTAGGACACCCGCGCGCCTTGTCGTGCTAGTCTCCGCATCGGACCAGATTACTTGCAAAGGCAAGGGCTGTCAATACTCATGCCCATATTTACACGAATATCTCTCTATCTATCTGTATATCTATATATACATATATGTATTGAGACTCCTACATATAGTATTGCCATTGAACATACTGACATTGATCATTTGTTGAATGCTCAAGCTAATACCAGCATTACTACTAATATTACACTTCTATAAAAGCTTAGTACGAATATGCATAACACAAATACTAAGATTGATTAGTATTGCTCTTAGTACTCCTACGCATATCAATAACCATATTCATATTGATAATAATGTATAATAATACCAATACTAACACACACCTGTATGTACTAATGTACATAAACATGCATACCACCATATTAAAATACAAATCCTTTAACTCACTCATGAATTCAACTGTTAGAATTTCACGTGGTCAAGAGTAATAACAATACAAACATTCTTTAGAATGTATATCATCAATAATATGATAGTACTAACGCTAACACTACTGCTAATACTTAACACAAAATCTATACTAACATCAATATTTACATAGCTATTTATACTCCTACGAATACGAATACGTAAACCCTTGTGCGTTAACAGTAGTGCTATCACCAACACTAATACGGACTTTGATAATCTGCTGCATATTCAAGAATGCCACTAGTATTACCAGCATGAACACTCATATTATGGCTATTACGAGTATAAATAGTCCTACTTCTACTAGTATTGACATTAATACTCCTACGAATACCAATAGTATATTCATATTGATATGAAAACTAATACCATTACTAATAGACACCTGCATATACTCATGTACATAAAATACGTACCACTATCTTAAGATACAGATATATACATCAGTGCATTCATGTATTAATGCTTTGGCATAGGCATATACCCATATACCAATGTATCAATATACTTCTCGTTGTTGTATGAATATACTATACGAATATGTGACTATAATCATATACGGCTACTGCACTATGCAAGAATACCGACATGACAAGTTCGTATACTAATATGCCAACATACTGATATACTTATACATGATTAGATAAAACAGTAATATAGTACACATATTCGTACACTAATATGCTAACGTACGAATATACTGGTATGTCAATATACTAGTAAGCTAATACAGCAGTATAGTATTGTAGTCATGCACCAGTTGTACTAACATGTAAAATATACTAGTATACAAGTATGCAAATATTTTGCTGTCCGAATACATTGATGTATTGATATACTAATCTGCTAATATACGAGACTATCAATATACTAACATATCAAAACTAACTAGTTCTAATATTGATACTAATACTAGCACTTCTGCGAATATAAGCTGCTGTTAAACCCAGCATTAAGACTGATACTGATACTACTCGTAGCAGTGGTGCTGTATTACTGACATTGACACTGGCACTAGCGCTAACTCTAACACGAACATGAGCACTAACACTAATTTATAGTTGGCAATATTGATACGTATACTTACAGCAAGCAATAGTACTAATATTAATAACAATACTCACCCTAATACCGATACTACCACAAGACTATTACGTAACTCATGTGCCGCACGTCTGGTGCTATACTATATACCTCATGTAACGGTTTTGCTTCACAGAATATCGTTGTGCACGGTGTTTTTTAGACCCGTGGTCTGTCACCGGGGGGGGGGTGAGCATATATATATAGTATATACATGTACTATATATATTATATATCAACATATACATATACCTGTGTATACAACATGTATGCATAGAACCATATGGACAAAACAACAAAAGAAACAAGCAAACCTTTTTTGACCATTGCACCAAACAGAGAAACCAAAAAGAGAAACAACATCATGAGCAAAAACAACAATGCACGTGTGCCTGCGAGCACAAGTGCCCTGCAAGGCCAAAACACACAAAGGCAAAGACTCGAATTGCCAGGCGAGGACACACACACACACACCGACAACAACCCTCCTCGCCCCGGCAAAGCCCACCTTTACTGTGCTTTGCTTCCTGTCCTGCTCGTCGTGATAAATGTATATGTATTCTTTGACATATATACATGTATATATATATATACATATGTGCATATACACATATTATTTGGTGGTGTATGTTGTTTTATACATTGCACATATTCGTATCTCCCAGCTATAGGTTTTACTTCTTCATGTACATTTATTATGTGTGTATATATATATATATCACAAGTCTGTCTCAGGTATCATCTGTAATGATTACTTTGTGTGGCCTCTCATTTCTTATATTAAAATATAATGCTGTATATATATATATATATATATCTACACACATTATATATGCCATAGTATATACATATATATATATATATATATATAAGTGCATATGCATCAGAGAACTCTTTCTCTCTCTCTCTCTCTCTCTCTCTCTCTCTCTCTCTCTCTCTCTCTCTCTCTCTCTCTCTCTCTCTCTCTCTCTCTCTCTCTCTCTCTCTCTCTCTCTCTCTCTCTCTCTCTCTCTCTCTCTCTCTCTCTCTCTCTCTCTCTCTCTCTCTCTGTTTCTTATATATATCTATACATATATATATATATATACATGTATTGGTACACTGGTACACATGTTTCTGGTTGTGTCTATATGCCTCTATACACATATACTATATATATATATGTATATACACGACACATCTATATATGTCGAAACACCATGCACCCACCCCATCCCACCCCAACCCTCCACCCATGCACAGCATGCACACCGGCATGCATGGGGCATTGTTTGTATGTGAGGAACATGCACTGCCAGGCGAGCACAATGCCACCATTGCATGATTGTGAAGCATGGATGTTGCCCTGCAATCTTGTGCATGGAGGAAGGGGCATCGATTTGCAGCATCCTGTTGTTGTACTCTGAATGCATGAGGCTTGGCTCTGTTTTCACATTTTCGCCAGCAGGGCTTCTAGCTCGCTGGCAGCTCGTGTGTGTCTCGAACATGGCAGCTTCAACCGCCGTGGACCAATTCAAGGGCGACCTCTCGGCGACCATCAAGTTCCTGGGGAGCATGTCTTCCATGCCCAACTATGAGTCGATTCGCCAGATCCAAGCTGATGCCCTCACGAAGCGAGCTGCAGGGCTTTGCCTCGACCCTGAGGCAGGGGCAGCACTGGCCGATTCGTGGAGCACCGGCCCATGGTCTGTTGACCAAACCAAAGCCTTTTCTGAAGTGCTGGCCAAGGGTGTCAGTGCAACAAGTGGGAGCAAAGGCAGCAAGAATCGCAGGGAGAATCAACTGTGCAGCAGCTTCGAGTGCTACTTGAGCGAGAAGGACGTGGAAGTGCTGACTTCTGATTCCAGCATCCACATCAAGCTCGACACTGCAGCAAGCAGGTGCTGCCGGTTGAGGCTCACATTGCCGTCAGAGCAATGTGTGAAAAGTATCCTGGCCGCCATCGCTGCCAGATCCGGTGGCACATGCACTGAAGCCGAGCTCTTTCTCCAGGTGGGGGAGTTCAAAAGAGTGCTTCGTCTCAAAGCGAAGAAAGTCCCAAAAGAAGGGATTCACATTGAAACCTATCCGGTGGGTGGGCCTCGAGAGCTACCGGATGTTTTGTTCAAGGCGGCCTACGATGCCGAGGATGGGCCGGTTAGCACTCTGCTGCCGGCTGGGCAGGTGGCACTCAAAGCCATGGACATTTCGCTGAGACCGACGAACAAGAAGGTGAGAGGCATCTTTGCCACACCGAAGGCGAGCACTGCCATGGTGCCGGCAAATTCTATGTCGATGCCTGGCATGCACATGGGTGGCATGAACATGATGGTTAACCCCTACATGCAGGGAATGATGGGCATGCATGGCATGCCACATGCTTCGTCCATGCAGGGCCTCATGCAATGGATGAAGCAGCAGCAAGATTTGGCGACCCAGCAGGGAGGGTTGCAGAACCTCCAGATCTTCGCTCCCGGCACGGGGTCCTCTTCGGGATCGCAACAGCCGCCATCTTCTTCGACACCGGCATGTGCACAGCAGCTATGTTCTTCGACACAGGCACAGCAGCCATCTTCTTCGACACAGGCACAGCAGCCATCTTCTTCGACACAGGCACAGCAGCCAGAGAACGGAGAAAGCGGCATCGAGACAAAGCCTGCAGACCCCTTCGCCTTCCAGCTCGACACAACTCAGGCCCTAGAGGAAGCTACCAAAGTGTCCGATGCATTGGACAACCGCAAGACTGGAGGCCAGGGCAAGCGAACGGCTGACGAGTTCGAGGGAGTTGCCAAGCCGAAGGGGAAAGCTAAGGCTAAAGCAAAAGCTAAGGCCAAGGCTAAAAGTGAGTCCAAGCCGAAAGCAAAGGCCCAGCCCAAGGCAAAGGCCCAGCCCAAGGCAAAAGCCCAGCCCAAGGGCATCTTGAAGAAGCCTTCAGCCCATGCTGCCGGCAAAAAGTATTGGGCCTCGCTCCCCCTCGCGAAGCGAGTCTTGTTGAGGCCACACGGTTGCTCCAAATGCAGGTCCAAACCGGGCTGCTGCCCAAGCTGTTTCTAAACCCGTTTTGCCACGAGGGACAAGAAAATGTTCCCTCAGTTCCGCCATTTGTGCATCTTCGTCCAGCAACATCAAGCATGCCTGCAGATGGGTCTGCATGAGCATGATCGCGAGCCGAGACAAAAACATGCAGATTGCATGCCTTTGGCCGGAGCGAATGCATGCATGCACATATCGACATGAGAGTTGCTTCGTCAGCCGTGCATGTGGATTTGTTTGCAAAGCTGGATCTGTGCCAGGCCATGTAGTCAGATCTCATGAAGCTGCTTTGACACCTTATGCCATTCCAGGACTTAAGGGTTATCGTTTTGGGTTAAGTTATATAGGGTTGAGAGTTTATGTGTATGGGTTTTAGTGTTAAGGTTTTAAGGTTTATGGATTTAGGGTTTATAAATAAATAAATATAGAACATAGATAGATATAGGGAAGGGAAGCTTCAATATAGGTAATTATATGTCCTTCGCAAAATTGCTCGTAGTTATAAAAGCCGAGAGCATGATATTATACAGATTTTCATAGGGGCCCATCAAGCCGGCAGGGCTGCAAGCTCGCCGGCATTCAGAAACTAGCCATGTCGTTGGACGTGGCCAGCTTGGGTCGGAAGCATTATGTGAGCCAGAGTGGTTTAGCAGCTGTTTTGAGGGAGGTTTCCGAATCGTCTTCCACAGTGGCACCTTCCAGATCAGGCATCAAAAGAGCCAGAGAGGAACAGGTCGCCATCGACACACCATATGGCGCTTTGATCGACAATATGCAGATCAAAGACAAGAAGGGAAAGGAACGGAGTTTCCCAACATTGAATCTGAAAGCCTGGATGTGGTACGTCGTCAAGAACCTGCTTGTTAGTTTTTTCAGCAGGAAGTTCCTGGAACACCCGCCCAAGGCAAACACACCTTGGCGGGTGTGTTTATATTGTGATGAGATATCACCGGGCAACCAACTAAAGCAGCAAAACACACGGAAGATCCAAGCCTACTACCTTTCCTTCCATGAATTCGGGGCGGAGTTCCGTTGCCAAGAATGTGGTTCACGGTGGCTTTGGCGAGGTCCCATCTGGTGAACCAACTTCCTGGCGGCCTCTCGCAGTTCACCCACCACCTCCTGCAAGCACTGAAGCTTGAGGACTTCGAGCATGGTTTGCTTCTGGACTCGGGCGGTGAACGAGTTATGTTCTTCGCGAAACTGGACACCATGGTGGCAGATGAAGCTGCCTTGAAGGCAGTCTTTGATGTGAAGGGCTCCTCGGGGACACTACCATGTCCTTTGTGCTCCAATGTTGTTGCCAAGACGAGCATGCTGGAAGGCTGTGACACAACTGGGACACTGGTACCTGTGCACGAAACTGCTCTGGAGAAGTTTTGTGCAAGAACGGACAATACCATCTGGCAGGGCTGCAGGTTACTGCAAAGCCGATGTGGCCTTTGAGCAGCTGGAGCAGTCACTGGGGATGAACCATAACCCAGATGGTGTCCTGTTCCATGGGAGTTTGCCTTTGGCCTCCACTTTGATGTACGACTGGCTACACTGTTACTTGGTAGCAGGACTGATGCACGTGGAGCTGGGGCTTTTGTTCCCCATACTCTATACCCACGGTGTGACAGTGGAAAGTCTGAAAGACTGGATGTGTTCCTTCGAATGGCCCTACGGCTTGAGGACACACCGCAACGAGACACTGAGGATTTTCGACAAGAGAATTCCCCCTGGCGAGTTCAAGTGTAGTGCCTCTCAAGGTCTGAACCTGTACCCATTGCTGCGACTTTTCTTGCTCAGTCTTGCAACAGGAAGCATTCCAGATTTACTGGCAAAGGCGATGACCAGTTGTTTGAATTTGTTTCTGGATCTCTTGCTTAAAGGGAACCGGGGAGAGCAGGTGCCACCAGACGATTTGGAGGCCGCCATCCTCAAACACTGCCGGGCATTTCTCAGTGCATATGGCTCCGAGCATGTTGTGCCTAAATTCCACTATAGCCTGCACCTTGGCGCTTTTGCTCGAAAGAAACCGCTGATTTCCTGCTTCACTCACGAAAGAAAGCATCGCCAAATCAAACAGCTGGCAAACGAGATTCACAACCCTGGAGACTGGTTTGAGAAATCCGTCTTCAGAGACGTGTGGGGCGAAGTGATCCTGCAGATGCAAGCGGACTCTTTCAGTCTGCAGCCCCATCTGCTGTCACCCAAGAAAGCTACGACAGCTACGATCTCTTTGCAGGCCATGTTGAATGCAAACTTCGGCGATCGAGCATGCGGTGCGACTTTTTCCTTTCAGGCCGTTTGCAGGCCGGGCCAGAGCTGCGAGAAAGGTGATCTCGTGCTGCTTTCTTCTGGTGATGTGGTCCAAGTGTGGCTGCATTGCCGCCTGTATGACGGGGACATGTGCACTTTGTATAGCATTCTGAAGCCTCTGGGTAAGAATCGCTTCCTCCTGGACGATTCCACGGCTCGGTTTATTCCGAGTGTCCACATCCAGAGGGCATGCTACTATAAGAAGTGTCCCAAGGATGGCGAGGTCATGGTCACTCCTGCCTAAGAAAAATCTGCATGGCGAGCTTGAAGCCCTGCCTGCGAGTCTATTGGGATTGTGCATACACACTCACAGTTATATGCACTCATATATAGAAACACCTCGACATAACTCCGACACATAACTCCGCTATGTGTACTTAGCTAACTACACTACTCTACATATCGTAAGTGTAATTATGACATTTTCCTAACTACATATACCCAACCTCGACAAGCCTGCTATTTATATACTAAGTGTGCTACTTGTTTAATAACCACCTTGATCATCGAAGTACTATGGGGGTACCTTAATGCGTCCTACAGTTTTCGTGGTTTTTCGAACACTGAAAATGGCCTCGCGCGATAGTACAATTTTGGAATTGTTTGTCCACAAATCTTGAAACCTTCCAGACCCCCCGCTCCCCCCAAATTCAATGTTTACATAGAAGCGCCCAATCAGCATTGCGGCACACATTGCGGCACACATTGAAATTGAAGGGGCGGGGGGGAGGTTGCTGAATATGCAAACAAGAAGACTGTCAATGACTGACTGCTGCTGCACTCGATAAAAACCATAACTCCTTCATAAAGTCTCGTTATAGATCCTCCCCGAAGTCCTGCCTGATCTTTCCCTAAACCCTCGCATGGCCAAGGCCCCCGTAAACTTGTAGATAGACTACCCTACAATTTTTGCACATGCCACCCCTCATGTTTTTCGTGTATGCTCCTCCAAACGCTTGCTTGCGGACCCTCCCCCAAATCCTGCCTTGCAGATCCTGCCCTAAACTCTGCAGATCCTTCCCTAAACCCCCCCTTTTGCATTCCAAACCCTGCCCCGCAGATCACTCCCCAATGCCTCCTGCAGCACAAATTCCTATTCTTCGTGCGCATTTCCAGTGTTTTGGTGGTCCTGCAGGCCTCCCAACCCTTAGCCCTCCAGATAATGCCGCCCAAGCCTCCACCTGGCATAGTGCCCGAATAGTGCCCGAATAGGGCCCGAAATAGTGCCCGAAATAGTGCCCGAATGAACCCTTCATAGTTCCCAAATACATTTCCTTTCGTAAAGGAAGGAAAATCTCCTTTTTCTTCGCGAAAAATCATTTGGGCACTATGAAGGGTTCATTCGGGCACTAGTTCGGGCACTATTTCGGGCACTATTCGGGCACTATTCGTATTTGAAGGCGTCTACTATTCATGCACCGCAGCCTTGCCAAGTCCCTCCCAACACTTCTCCAGGCCTGAAAACCTCCGTCCAGGGCTTCCCTACCCTGCCACACTTTCGACGAGCTTTACGAGCCCATTTTCGGGGCCCGGAAAACAACAAAAAACGTAGGACACATCAGAGTACCCCCACAGTTACAGTGGCAAACAACGGTGCTTAAGCAGCACAAGCCCAATCACCAGGGTAGCAACGGAGCGTTTTGATTGATCACTGGTCGCCGCATGTCGAGCAAAACTTTGGCAAAGCTTCAAACACGTCTCCCTCGCAGAATTCCGCAGTTTTTGAGCTCGGGTTGGTCCCCATTTTGAGGCCAAAAATTGGTTCCCAAAGCTGAGACCGCCTGATTGGAAACTATTAGGGGAGACCCCATTTTGGGCTTCGTTTTTGGAGCTCGAAAATGGGCTCTAGAATGGATCGAAAACCTTTGGACAAAGACGCTCCCCAATTGGATTGGAACTTTGCTCGAAAAACAACCTTGTAGCTATGCGCGGGGTCTGTGCGTGGTCAGCTTGAGACTGTTGACCATGATGTCATGACAACTACTTGTTCATAAATACCACAGCATGGCAAGCAAGGCGGCAACTGACTATGGGGGTACCTTAATGCGTCCTACAGTTTTCGTGGTTTTTCGAACACTGAAAATGGCCTCGCGCGATAGTACAATTTTGGAATTGTTTGTCCACAAATCTTGAAACCTTCCAGACCCCCCGCCCCCCCAAATTCAATGTTTACATAGAAGCGCCCAATCAGCATTGCGGCACACATTGCGGCACACATTGAAATTGAAGGGGCGGGGGGGAGGTTGCTGAATATGCAAACAAGAAGCGTTAAAACCCAAACGCGCCTTGAGGCACACTTCTAGGTTTAGTAAAAGGAGGTGCAAGCCGACTGACTGACTACGTCACGCAAGGCTACAGCAGTGAAAGCTAACAGCACTTTTACACCTTTCGTCGCAACCAACTGTTCACCACGCGCTTGTCACGCAGTGCAAGTCTTGAGCCAAGTGAAACGGGGCGCAGACAGAGACTTCAGCACACTCACTTCCGCGGTAAGTCCTAAGGACTCCTAACGGCTTCTCTGCACTGGTAACTCTGTTCTATGGCCCAGGTGTTCCCCGGACTTCGTCTAGAAGTCCGTTCTCACAGCAAACAAACTGAAAACACTCTGATGTTCATCATGCTTCAGGGAAACACCGTTCTTCGTGAAAACTCGTGAGGAAAACTCCGGTTGGACACGCTTCTGGTAATGATCACTTTCACAGCAAGGTGAGACAGGAAGCGTGAGCGCAGCGACCGACAGACAGACAACTTTTCCCTACTCCTACCGTTCACAACTACACCTAAGGTTCTCTAAAACTCACAAAGGAGAAAACAGAAAGTGTTCCTGACCTTGGCGAGACACAGGGGCACCATTATAGGATTGAAAATCACGCTCGAGCGGTCGGTCCGCTGGGCTGAGCCCAGTTCGAGTCAGGGTGAGACGGAGCTTTAGGGGAGTCACCTCACCCTGATTTCGGGGCCTAGTCCACTTTGGGAGCGGCGAGTTTCTCTAGACCAGTCTGACATCAGGTGATGTCCTTAAACAGCACCCTCGGCACAGACTGGTCGAGCTCACCTGCCTCCTGCGGTTGCCCTCAGCCTACCTTCCAAGGAGTCTCCTCACTTTGAGCTAGGCGGCAACAAAAGGGGGTGCAAGGGAGGTGTCTCAACCTTGTAGCTTCTCCAAGTCCACGGAGTCTCCTCACGTTGTTGGCTTGTAGAGCAAGGGAGTAACCTCACCTTGAGCAGACTTAGGCTTGTGACCAAATTGGCTCGTTGAATTAAAGCTGGAAGGGGGAGTCTCCTCACCCTGGAGCGGCTTGCAAGCTTAAGGGAGTCACCTCACCTTAAGACCCTTCAAGGGGTTTCTCAACTTGTTGGGGTGTCCAAACTTGGGATCGGAACGAGCTGCCAGGTTGTATCATCCGGATTGCTCCAAGGGTTGCTCAGGGGGATGACCATACCAACCCTGTAGCACAAGGGGAGGTAGGTTAAGAACCCCGAGTCCTTTAAGCCCTCGAAGTGGTGCGGGAAGTCCTGGAGGCGGTGGAGGAAGACCTTGGCCAAAACCTCGGGGGAGCCATAGAGATGGATTTGTTCTTCCACCCATGGCCCAAACATTTCATGTTTGGCACATAGGCCAAGGAGCCCCTTGGTTGCCGCCTTTCCAGGCCAGTGCTTGTGCTGCGCTTCTCTCCAGCGGCCCCCATCGTACAAACAAACCTGCACGTAGTCGGCCGAGCGCAGCTTTGCACTTTGGAGCGCCATGTTCTCGGCGCGTGTGCGCGCCAAGGTCGGGAGGGCCCAACCTACGTTGTGCTCCCCAAGATCCGACAAGCGGATATGGCAGGCACACAAAAACGCGACCACACTTAACAAGGCCAGGAGGTCCGGGACATCAAGTGTCCTAAGCCTTCCCTGTGCTGCAAGAAGAGCGTCACCTCACGCACTAGGTCGTCGATCTCGTCTGGACACCATGGGCCCACTTGGGCCGTGGCCCGGGCCGCCGCTTTCCGGCAGAGTTGGTCGGCCGCGTCGTTTATCTGCTGTCTCCAGAGAGACGACTCTCCGAATTCAGCGCTGAATTCCTCCGCGGTCACGTGTGACCTGACCCACGTCAGTGAGGCGTGCGCTCGCCGGTCGCCCCCCTGTAGCCACGGCCAGCTGACCCCCAAAGACTTTTGCTGCCGCAGCATCCCAGCACAGTCGGTGGTGATGTCTGCGACCCCTGGTTTGCGGGCGCACACGCGGGCGATCGCGTAAGCTTCGGCTTGTGGCACCGTGGTGCCCGGCGGCAATACGCCACAGGCGGACCCGACTTGCCTGAGCCCATCGGGGGCACGCTGGAAGATGACCACGCTCCACGCCGCTACGCGGCCGCGGGGGTCGTTGCCGTGGGCACCCGCAGTCCCGTCCGTGCCGTAGAGGTACTCAGGGGGGTGTCGGCCGCGGTCTTGGCTGAAGCAAGTTGGCGAGGTCACTTCGAATGCTGGTGACCTCGTACAAGGCTTCATCAAGGCTCCAGCCAGAGGCGGCAAGGCTAGCGGCTAGAGATGGTGTTCCAAATCTTGCGATCAGCTGCCAGGAGCTCTTGCGTAGTTGGTCCCCGAAGGGAGGAGTCGGCTAGGTCTGGCAAGGCCAAGTGCTCGACTCGCTTGTCGAAGGCTTTCAGGTTGTTGAGGTGGGCTGCTCCACACAGTGCCCAGGCGTTCCTGAAAACTGTTTGGATGCGCTGCAGCCAGGACACCGAAAGGCGGAGACGGGATACGGCCATTTCAGGAGTGTCGTCATATATGGCTGAGGCGAGCAGCTGTGCCTCCGTCCTCATAGGCTTAGATGACTTGGCCTCCATAATTTCGGAGTACTGTTTGGAGCTAAGGCGGAGCTGCCATGGTATCCATTTGAGCTTTTCTCCTGGCTGAAGGCTTTGTTGCACGAGGCTGAGAAGGCGTATTGACGGCATGGTGTCATCGTCCAGGAGTTCGCCCGGATAGTTGGCTTTAAAGGTCGTGACCACAGATCCTGGACGACCTCCGAGCTGAGTTTCGGCGGCAAATGCTCCATCCAGGAGGATGGGGAGGCAGAAGGGGTGAGGGCTGCTGGGAGGGATGGCAAGGCAGGCGAAGGCTGAGGTCCTTCCTGTGCCTTGTGTGCGGTGCACAAGGCTTTCCTGGCTCGGGCTGCCTGGACTGAGTGTAGTGCATCTGAGACCCCCATATCACTGAGGTCCGACTCCGAAAGGCTCTGCAAGAAAGTGTCGAAGCT